TCTTATCAGGTAAGAATTTGACGATACGTTTAGTCCCGTTAGTTCTTACTTTTAAATAATGTAAAAAAAATGGCAACAAAAATTTTACTAATTTTACCATAGAAAATTTGTGACGTAGTCAATTTAAGTGGAATAATTACCATTTTATTATAAAAGCATGGCCCGAGTGCCTTTGCTTGTAAATGCGTTAAGAATGTCGATGGATGCTATGGTCCTAGAGTTAGTCTGACATTCCTTACAAATTAGTAATTATTCTAATTAATATTAATAATAATTAATATAATAATTATATTAATATATTATTAATAATAATATTATAATTAGTAATATGATGCACGGCAACTACTAGGTATGACATAACACTCATGGCACTCGACACAACAACGCTGATGTAAGTATTATCACTTGTATTGCGTTGCAGATATAATTTGCATTGCAAAAACATTGATGTAAGTAAGTATCATTTGTATTGCGTTGCAGATATAATGTATTACCACAAGCAAACAAGGTAAGACAGTAAAAGGTCATCAGACCAAGGCGTCATGTACACCTATGGCTGGGGTAACCATAGCGACGGGCAGCTTGGTCTGGGTGGAATAGAAGATGTACAGATACTCGTACCCAAAAGGTGAGCATGCCGGTATGGCCAAATAATTTCGCTCTTGCTCCTATGAAGCCATTGCAAACGGTTGATTCCACAAGTTTAATTTTGCGCCCTGCGCTATAAGATATAAGACGGCGTCCGATTGTCGAATCTCGTGTTGCAGCGTCGCGTGCCTGCGAGGCAAGAAGGTGCGTGAGGCGGCGTGCGGGCTCGCGCACACGCTGCTGCTGCTGCGCGGTGGCGCCCTCTACAGCTGCGGCTGCAACGACTTCGGACAGCTCGGACACGAGCGGCCGAGACGCAAGCCTGCACTGCATTCGCTCGCTCTCGGAGACGGCAGCGAGTCAACGCAGGATCGTCTGGCCTGTGAGTGAGACGCAGCCTCGGCGAGGAGGGAGGGGGGCATCTCGCGAGGGAGGGGGCACTTCGCGAGGGAGGGGGCATCTTGCGAGGGGGGGGGCATCTCGCGGAGGAGGGGGGCATCATCCGAGGGAGGGGGGCATCTCGAGAGGAGGGCGGCATCTCGCGAGGGAGGGGGCAATTCGCACGAGGGAGGGGGCATCTCGCGAGGGAGGGGCATCTAGGACGAGCGGGCCACTCGACAGGGGGGGCTATCTCGCGGGGAGGGGGGCCTATCTCGCGAGGGAGGGGGCATCTTTCGCGATGGGAGGGGCATCTCGCGAGGCGAGGGGCATCCGGCGACGGCAGGCGAATGGCGAGAGGTGGGGGCATCGCGCGCGTGGTTCCCCGTATCAATTTCTGGTGAAACCCAAGGGCGGGCCGATAAAGGCACTTAAATCTTCGTCAACGAACTAATCGCATGTTCGGCCGCGCTGGGAGTCGTCGTCATCGTCGTCGTCGCCGCGGCGACTGCTCCGTCCGCACCGCAGCATCTGGGATCGCGCCACCGATCGTCAGACAACGATCGCGTCTTTCCCCCGCCGTTCAGGAGCCGGCCACTCGATGGCGCTGCAATGACAACGGGCAGCTGTTCACCGTGGGGCAAGACGCGAAGGTCAGCTTGGTCACGGTTTGCCGGCGCGACGGGCGACCGCTGCGCGCCGCGACCGTGGCCCACCTGGCTGGGAGTTTATCATCGTGCAGGTCGCGTGCGGACACAGACACTCGCGTGGCGCTGAGCCGAGGTGAGAGAGGGAGGGGAGGAGGAGGCAGAGAAATGAGAAAGAGAGAGAGCGAGAGAAAAAGAAAGGCAGCGAGAGAGAGAGAGAGAGAGAGAGAGAGAAAGAGAGAGGGAGGAGAGGGAGAGATAGAGATAGAGGTAGAGAAAAAGAAAGGCAGCGAGAGAGCGAGAGAGAGAGAGAGAGAAAGAGAAAGAGAGAGGGAGGAGAGAGAGACAGCGAGAGAGTGAGAGAGAGCCAGCAGCATTGCTAATTAAATTACTTTATTTTATTAATGAATGAAAAATATGGTAATTTCGTACCCAGACCATCGTAACCACGGCGACGTGGCGCAATCATCGCCGCCTTGCTGTAATCGCCGTCGTGCCGCTCTCACGTGTTTGCTCTTTTCGCCGCCAGATGGCGTGCTGTACTCGTGGGGCGCCAACCAGCACGGCGAGCTCGGACACGGCACGCAGTCGCCACAGGAGGGCGCTGACGTCGTGCGCGGACTCGCGGCAGTGCCGGTGCACGGCGTCGCTGCCGGTGGAGCACACAGTATGCTGGTCACGGTGGGAGGGTCCGTGTATGGCTGGGGAAGCAACAGGTATTAAACTTAAAGCGTGAGGAAAGAACAGTGACCACACTACACTATTTCAGTGTAGTTTAGTGACAAAAAGAAGAAGAAGAAGAAGAAGAAGAAGAAGAAGAAGAAGAAGAGGAGAAGATTGTTATTAAATACTATTGTATATTATTTATTATTTGTTGTTTATTGTTGTTGTTTATTATTTATGATTGTTTTAGGTTCGGACAGCTGGGGCTGGGGGACGAGGCGCCGCGTGGCGTGCCGACGGTCTTACGATCGCTCAAGTTTCAGAAGGTGCGACACGTCGCGTGCGGTGAGGACCACACAGTCGCGCTGACGACGGTACGTGCCGGCGCGTATGTGTGTGTGTGTGTGTGTGTGTGTGTGTGCAT